TACTTAAATAAAATAAACCTCATTTGAAATACAAATTATTTTATAGAATTAAATTTTAAAAGAAAGGTCTTTCATTAACGTCCTTTTTTCTTACAGAAAATATCACTGCCGATTATTTCTAAACTTAAACATCAGAAGGTATCTTTTACGTTATTTTTTCCTATGAAAAACATTTATTATAAGTGTTTATTTTTTTAAAGAAAGAATTCTCAACTTTCGTTTATTTCTTTTTTAATAAAAGTACATTTTTCTCTACAATTCAGAAAAATATTTTAACAATTTAATCAAGCTGAAAAGTTACATAAGAATATCTACTAGAAACATTCAGTATTTAATGTTACCCTATCACGTGAACATTTTTTTTTAACTCAACTCTGTAAGGAATATCTGCGAGTAATTCAATCCTGATCTCCATAAATTCACAAAAAAAAAACAATTTTCCCTAGACGTAAATTAATAATTCAAATTTCTTATAATAATTCGTTATAATGATTTATTATTATAATTTATTATAATAATTGATCATAATAGTTTATTATAATAATTTATCAGAATAAATTATTATACGTGTTAGTTTTTAAAAAAAAATTCATTTTTCTCCACGATTCAAAAACTATTTTAACAGTTTAATTAAGCTGCAAAGTTACATAAGAATATTCTCGATTTTCTCAGTTTTTACATTAAACATTCATATCACATTAGGAAAATTGTTTTTTTTTTTTCTAACTCATCTCTGCAAATAATATCTGCGAGTAATTGAATCCAGACCATAAATTTACAAGATAACCAATTTTCCCAGGACGTAAATTAATAATTTTAATTTATTATAATAATTTATCATAATGATTTCTTATAATAATTTCTTATAATAATTTATCATAATAGTTTATTATAATAATTTACTATAATAATTTATTATACATGTTAATTTTTGGAAAAAAATTCTTATCTTTTTAAAAAAAAAAAAATTCATTTTTCTCCACAGTTCAAAAGCTATTTTAACAATTTAATTAGGCTGCAAAGTTACATATGAATATTCTCGGTCTTCTCAGTTTTTTACATTAAACATTCATATCACGTTAGAAAAATATTTATTTTTTCTAACTCATCTCTGCAAGCAATATCTGCGAGTAATTGAATCCAGACCATAAATTCACAAGATAACCAATTTTCCCAGGACATAAATTTATAATTCAAATTTATTATGATAATTTCTAATAATAATTTATTATAATGATTTAGTATAATAATTTCTTATAATAATTTATCATAACAGTTTATTATAATAATTTGCTATAATAATTTATTATACATGTTAATTTTTGGAAAAAAATTCTTATCTTTTTAAAAAAAAAAAAATTCATTTTTCTCCACAGTTCAAAAGCTATTTTAACAATTTAATTAGGCTGCAAAGTTACATATGAATATTCTCGGTCTTCTCAGTTTTTTACATTAAACATTCATATCACGTTAGAAAAATATTTATTTTTTCTAACTCATCTCTGCAAGCAATATCTNAAGTTACATAAGAATATCTACTAGAAGCATTCAGTATTTTATATTACACAATCACGCGAAATTTTTTTTTTTAACTCATCTCTGTAAAGAATATCTGCGAGTAATTCAATCCTGATCTCCATAAATTCACAAGAAAACCAATTTTCCCAGGACGCAAATTAATAATTCAAATTTCTTATAATAATTTATTATAATAATTTATTATAATAATTTATTATAATAATTGATCATAATAGTTTATTTACTATTATAATAATTTACAAGAATAATTTATTATACGTGTTAGTTTTTTAAAAAAAAAATTCTTCTCTTTTTTAAAAAAAAATCATTTTTCTCCACAGTTCAAAAACAATTTTAACAATTTAATTAAGCTGCAAAGTTGCATAAGAATATTCTCGGTTTTCTCAGTTTTTTACATTAAACATTCATATCACGTTAGAAAAATATTTATCTTTTCTAACTCGTCTCTGAAAACAATATCTGCGAGTAATTTAATCCAGACCATAAATTCACAAGAAAATCAATTTTTCCAGGACGTAAGTTTATAATTCAAATTTATTATGATAATTTCTTATAATAATTTATTATAATGATTTAGTATAATAATTTCTTATAATAATTTATCATAACAGTTTATTATAATAATTTACTATAATAATTTATTATGCATGTTAGTTGTTGGAGAAATATTCTTAAACTTTTTTTTAAAAAAAAATCATTTTTCTCCACAATTCAAGAACTATTCTAAAAATTTAATTAAGCAACAAAGTTGCATAAGAATATCTACTAGAAACACTCAGTTTTCTCAGTTTTTTATATTAAGCATTCATATCACGTTAGAAATATATTTTTTTCTAACTCATCTCTGCAAACAATATCTGCGAGTAATTGAATCCAGACCATAAATCAACCAAAAACCAACTTTCCCGGACGTTTGATAAGCATATTTCTCAAGTCAACTTGTGAGTTCACAATAGTGGGTGGGTCCTAAAGCCAATCGTAAAAATTCAATATTTACTGTCACCAGTAAATGTTATCAAAGTAAATAATGACTTAAACTTAATTGGAAAAACGAGTTGTGTAACTCCGATAACCAGAAATTTCATGGTTTTGCTCGTTGGTCATTTGTATGATTGGTCATTTATCTAAATAACTAAGTAGCTGCTGTCATATATATATATAAATAATTAATAATTTGAATTCAAAATAGCGTTATATATGATTGTTATTAATGAAGTTCAAAACTAAAAGGTTATTTTGAAATTTTAATTATACTAATATGTATTTATATTTAGTCTGTTTCTTACCCAAATAAAAATAAAAAATTGGCAGTAAAAACCATTCATTTCTACTTTTCATTTCTATGCGTGACTTCTGCTTCATTTTATAGGTAATAACATATGTATTTATTTCTGATAGTTTACACAACAAATTATGGTCAGTATTTGATCAGTTATTAAAAAGTGGTAGTCACGTTAGTTTAATTTTCCCAAATAGAAGGAGAAATAAAATGTTTTTCCTATCATGTTTTTATCAAAATTTCCGGATAGGTAACAGATATTTGTATTTATTTTACATAATCCTCAATAATTAATTAGCATAGGCATGCGTTGATTGCATAGGTCTATTTAAAATGAATTGAGAAAGGAATGATAAATCCCTTGAAATTTAAAATTAACGCAATTATGAAACTAGTTTATCCAACGATAATTCTATGTCGAAAATAATTTTTGATAAGTATATTACTTTTTACAATTTTATTTAATGACAGTCAATGAAATTTCGTTTTTTTTTAAATGGTTTAAATTTTTTTAAAAATTAATTTTGTAACGGAAATCACTGAACTTTCGTTCTTCACCTAGGAAGATGCCGGAAGTATTACTCATTTAACTTTACCCACTGGACACCTGTGAATCTAAGTCACGGAGGCGAGTAACATTGCCACAGATACCGGTTTATAAGGTGGGCCACATTTACACATCACACAAAAGAGAGCAACACACAGAGAGAAACATCCATGCCCTGAGCGGGATACGAACCCTCAACCATTGGCTTCACAGTCAGGCAAACTGATCGCTCGGCCAGCAGGCCGGCAATTTCGAATTGTAAATGTTATGTCGGTGTTGCGTTGCCCTTTGCTTATTTTAGCATTTTAACTTTAGTTTTCGTATCTATTTTAAGCCATAAATTAATTTTGCTTTTTGACTCTATGAGCAAATCCTTAATTTGCTTTTTGACCCTATGAGCCCTATGCTAACGACCTATCAACAAATCTTACCAGAATGATATTTGGGAGAAAATTATCTTTGTAGAAGATTTTTTGATTGAACTAACCGGCATTTGCGTTACATGGAGAGGAAATCCATGAAAACCTCCCCACGGTTAGCCGAATAGCAAGGGGACTCCAATCCATGATCTGTCTACCACTGAGGATATTTTACGTCAGCACTGTAGTCGGTGCGAGCCAGATGTGGAGTTCGTATCTACCAGCCACGACTCAAGATTTTAAGTTTTCGATTTTTTCCGAAGAAAAAGCAAATGTAACGTTAGGTTGAACACACAAAATATTGTTGGCGCTTAAAAACTTTTATATAAAGAGCTTAAAATAGGGTAAAAATGCATGTAACGTATCGGTTGTTGTTTCCAAAAAATGTGATATCATTCCAAATATGTTTTGTATCACTTCATTTTTTTCGTATTCCGTTCCAACTACGCAGAACCTTCATATTTTTTGTTGATTACCCGTTCGTAATTGTTATCCTCCCCACAACAGGATCCATATAATTATCTTAAAATCCATGCGCGTTAATTTTCTTTTCTGAAGAAATCAAAAGTGAAAGAATACTAACACCAACTTAGTTTTGATTGGGAAATCGTGACTACTTTTCCATCCAAAGTTGTACAATTTATGTGAACGGGGTTATTTCACTTATGTTCATCTGTCAGTCTCGATTTTTGTTTGTATTCCAACTCAATCGTCCAAGATCTTTATCTCACCCTAGATGCGCAATATAAATCATGGAAACTCTCTAAGTGCGCACGCATGTCAAGCAGAAATCCATTAATTTCCATTGAGACTAATGATACTAAGTTCAATTTATCAAGTATTTTGATGGAGATTTTTGATTTTCTTATCTACTTCACTAACCCTTCAAGATCTTAATGACTTTTAATTTTTATGTATGGAAGTGAATTTTAAAAGCGGAAGCATAAGAGGAAGGGGTACACGTGCTCCATCCTAACTGGTTAATGTAGTATTGCAATAACCTTACCTCATTAGTTTTGCAATGGTAAAAATAGAATTTGAATGTTGGGAAAAAGAAGAAACATTGCCAATAATAGAGCCTACTACTACAACAAGTTTTTGCAAAAATAGAATGAATTGAAAAAGTTTCATTTATTGAAGTTGAGAGTACTATTAAATGGAATTATAAATTTTTTGTGAATAAAACAGGGAAAGTAGTGTAAAATAATAAATTTACCTTCGGTAAAGTCCTGGCGGTATCATAGTATGTGCAAAGCGAAAAGCTGCACTTTGAAATACGTGGCTAACTCCGGGATGCACATCAGGCTTGTATCCTATAAAATATGATTTGGTAAGCGTATGATAAAGCATAGTCGAAATTTTTATTATTATGCATCGATTTCAAATCATTTCCAGATTTTTCAAGCATCGGCTTAAACGATATAAGATACTAAATTAGATTTAAATAAAATTCTGGATAAACTAAGGCTTAAAATTAAGTAAACAATACTTTCAAACTTAAAATTTCCATAATTTTAAAACTTTGTCATATTTTAGGTAAATTTCATATAAATAATTGAATAAAATAAAAACTTAAAACACAAAAAATGACTTTGAATTTTTATGAAGATGAAATAGAATTTGCAAAATCTTCGAAATATTGAGACATTATTTTCTAAATTTAATATTTTAGTTTTTACAAAATTAGTTTCTTGAAAGAGAAATGAAGCCAAATTATGTTACCAAAAAGTTATTTTTCTCTTTGTAGTGTCAGATAATGTTAAAGATTTTCGAAGACTTATAGCTAAGTTAATTTATGCCACCACAACAAGTAGGGACTATTTTTCTTTTATATAATCAGTGAATTTTTAATACATAAATTTTTTTCGGAAGTGTGAATTAAAATACTTAAAACTTTTCGTCAATTAATCGATTAATCGTTTCAAAGAAGTAGTTTTATTGAAAGTTTGGTGGAAAAAAACCCACCTTAAAAACATATATTGTAAATTAAAAATACCAATCAAAACCAGTGCTTACCTGAATATGGGGTAATATCTTCTTCCAATAATGTTGGCACATATTCGTACAAAATAACTTTCTAAAAAAATAATAACAGTTTTGAATTAACATTGTGCATAAGAATTACCATATAAATATAAATTATAGTTAACCCCTTGACATACGATGACGTCTAGGAGACGTCATTTGTTTCATATGCAAAAACAATAATTGACGTATCTCAGACGTCTTCCACACAGAGACGCCTACTTGAGCCGGACAGCAAATAAATACTTTAAAGTGGTAGTTTATCAAGTGTAATTCTTGGATTAATAAATTCAATTTAGTAGATTTTCATCCACCACTATTTCTAAATAACTCGCAGGCTTATATAATTCACCACTTTATAGTAGTTCTGCAATGCTATTCCTTTTAAAAAGCGAGCAAAAATAGTCAAATATTTGCAAAATTTAGTTTATAGTTATTTACCGTTTTTTAAAATTATTTTGGCGTGTCCGGAAACGTTGGCATCTCTGTCAACATTCCGTTGCGAGTTGTTGCTTACGGTGCAATCAAAGATCATTTCTATATCAAGAAATTAATAATTCCGCACAGTTTAGAGTTTTTGTGTTTAATGATGAGTCAAGGGGTTAAAAAATGATCTAAAATTATTATTTAACGATGGCATCAATAAATGAAAAATCATACGTGGAAGTATTCTTTAAAGCTAACAAAAGCTTCTTTTCAATCAAAATATATCATAATACAATTGAAATTAAGATATAAAAAAAACTAATAAATACAATAAAAATTAAAAAGGGATACTTATGAAACAAGAGAAATGCAGTCAAGAGTGTAGCTGTGAATGAAATGATATTTGTTTAAAATATAAAACCTAGGTAATATTTAAGATAGTTGGAGGTAAGATATTACAGTTCTAGAAACGTAAGATCTTTAATAACATGACATTCCTATTTCGATATAATAACAGTTTTAGTAACTATACTTGTAAGTTATGTAGAGAAAATGACAGTTTTGTCAGACATTCCAAATGAGAATGACGGAAAGCAAATTAAATTGTGATACGTGATTTGACCGCTTAAGTTTCTTTACATAGTCCATGTTTGCAATTAGAAGTAACAAGCAATTAAGATGACGAAGTGGTGGAAGAAGATATGATGGATGATACGATGTAACTGATATGTGATTTCAATTAATCCATTGATGAATCAAATTTAAGAGGAGAAGAAAAGATTTGATGCATCGACTTGTATTTTATAAGTTAGATCCACATGAATGAAAAAATGAATTAAATATTAGTAAAGATCATTAAAGAAATGGATGCCAATAATAAGATAGTGTATTAAGCAAATAATGTATTGAAGTTGTTTGAAAATAATTTATATTGTTCTTTTGGTAATAGTTTACAGTCGGGGGTTGCTCTAATTTTTTTGGTGACTTGCAAATAAACGAATATAGATGTAGTTTATAAACCAACCAATCAATCACATAAAGGTAAGCAAAAGTTGCGGTAACCCAAAGATGACGTCATTGAAAGCAAAGACAGCAAATTATATCATAGTTACCAGAAATGGGATTGAACGAAAATTAGTGCCAAGCCATAGAGCCTCCGATTATACACTAGAGCCGTTCTTTTAACAATTTTTTATTGATTTGATGGATTTAAAATCGAAATTTTTGCATACTTTTTTTTTGTTGTGCGATACAATGCGATTTTTGTAATGCGCTACATTTGTTAATTAAATGTGGTAAAATAAGAAAATATTTTAACTGAATGTACAATTGAACAATAAAAATAAAGGGAACGAGGCTATTTTTAATCAATTTCAACAAAGGAGAAAATTATATCAAAAAACGTGCTTAACAAACGGGTGTAAGCTTAGGGTAAATTTGGAAGAAAGGTCATCAGAGCAACTCGTTGCTATTAGACAGGTACTTAATAAAATAGGGGAAATTGAATAAAGTAATGTAACACATTCCTCTGTAAAGGTGAAACAAAAACAGATAAACTTCAGTTTCAAAATAAACTTATTTTAGCAAAAGTATTTCAGCATAGTTTATTGTAATCATGGGACAGTTGCTTCTTCAACTCCAAGGAAAAAATATTAGAAAACTTTAATTTTTACTTAGTTTTAATTTTAAATTAAATTAGTTTTAATTTTTACTTAGTTTTAATTTTAAATTAAATTAGTTTTAATTTTAAATTAAATTAGTTTTAATTTTAAATTAAATTAGTTTTAATTTTAAATTAGTTTTAATTTTAAATTACTTTTAATTTTAAATTACTTTTAATTTTAAATTACTTTTAATTTTAAATTACTTTTAATTTTAAATTACTTTTAATTTTAAATTACTTTTAATTTTAAATTACTTTTAATTTTAAATTACTTTTAATTTTAAATTACTTTTAATTTTAAATTACTTTTAATTTTAAATTACTTTTAATTTTAAATTACTTTTAATTTTAAATTACTTTTAATTTTAAATTACTTTTAATTTTAAATTACTTTTAATTTTAAATTACTTTTAATTTTAAATTACTTTTAATTTAAAATTATTTTTAATTTTAAAGTAAATTAATTTTAATTTTACTAAGAATAACTACTCTGTTTGCATAAAAAAGTTTTAACTTTACTTAACGTGAAGCTTTTAAAAGTCTAACAACTATTGTACAAGACTAAGCAAAAATCTGACCGATGCGTGCAGTGTTCAGGAAGCTGACCATATGTCAGAAAGGTCTCGGGTTTGAATCCTGATCAGAGGCATGGATGTTCTTTCCTTTTACTGTACTATCCGATCATCTTACTGCTTGCTAGGAGGGGGGGAGTATCGTTGGGACGACAAGTTTGGTGTTTCCGAAAGAATGGCCAAGATATTTGATCTTCTGATATCACGGGAAATGATGAACGTCAATATATGGCCGGTGTGATGTCATAGGCTTTAATATATCCTAGCTTTAAAAATTTCAAAAATTCAATTTTCTTTATAATTCTTAAAAAAAGTTAATTAAATTGAACTAATTGTTAAATTTTCGTTAAATTTCATAAAAAGGAAAATCTGAATATTTTATTCTCTTCCTGAAAATCATTGTAAAGGCAAACTTTTTTATAATTCAAAGAAATGTATAATTCATTAGTTCACTGTCGTGAATATACCGAGCACCAGAATGTATTTCTGTTGCCACAAAAAATGTTCAAGTTATTCTCTCGGTATTTTTGGAGATTAAGCTATAGATATTTTATTTAAAATTTAATATTAGTAACACGAGGTTTGCTGTGTTTTTAGTTATTTTATCTCTCAATAAATCACCAACTATTGATTTGTTCCCATGCTTCTAAGTTTTCGTTGGGAACAATTCAGTCACTTTTTATTTTGGCGTAAGGATTAGGGGAGGGATTCGCCCCTCATTCCAAACGTTATTAATTTGATAAAAAAATTTCAAATTAAGGTTCAAGGATGTATCTTTTCATATCTATTATAGATGTCTGATCCTTACTCTTTTTTTGTTTAACTTCATAATGGCCATTGTTAATTAAATAAAAGCAATTATCACTTTGATATATCTGTGGAAGATCAATTCTTCACAAGTGGAATGTGCAATATGTATTTACTATAATCACGCCTTCATAAAACTATTGGAAATCATGCTTCCTTATCTTAACGACGGCAATAAAAATATCCTCCACCATATGTAATGCCTATAACAGTATCGCAAGTGGGCATTGAATAAAAAAGAAATATTGAACAAAAATGATAGTCCTTATCTGTAAAATAATTTTGTAAGCATAAAACACCAATATAAACAAATTAAAACACCACAAGAAGAAAGGCAAAATTATTTAAATTCAAGGAACACTAACAAGGTATTGAAGGATTTAACCTTTAAGACATCGAACACGGTGGTGTATTTAGTCAACAGTGTGGACTTGCATTTTAAAATCTTGATTTTTTTTTACTGCTCTGGCGTCAGCTTTCTCAGAAGCTCCGATTACTATTCTTACGATCTAAAGCAAAGTTCCTCTGAATTCGTCCTTTCGCATAAAAAGAGGCAAGATAATTGCGGCCTGTAATACTTTAATGATCCCTATTTTTTATCAGGAAGCTTAGAGCAGAGCGGTGCAAGTTCAGGACCCCAAACTCATCTTTCCAACAACTTGTCTGGAAGATCTTTTTGACGGCCAAATGTGGCATAATTGCGGAGCTTAAAAATGAGTTCAACAAAATTCGAACGATTATCTTAAGGCATGGGTGTCCCTTGGGACAGAACTTGATGACCGATAGAAGCAAAAGGCTTGGTTGGTGGCGAGCAATATAGTTCACTTACTTCCAGGTTAGAATCTGCGTCTCGGCCATTACGAGACGAATGCTTTCTCGCGCCAGTCAAGTGTCTACGATTGTTAATGTTACGTTTTTATGGCGATTAAACTTATGGTCCAGAAATTTACGACTTCCTTATTAGACAATAATGTCATTAAATGCTATCCATTAACTTTAAAAGCTTCGAATAGTATAAAAGAAAGTGATATATGAATTTATTTGAATTGTGCGAGATTATTTAATAAAGACATCCGACCTAATTAGAAAGTATGAATCGATAAATTGGAAGAAGTAAGTGTCCCTCTTACATCCAACAAAAAATGAGTAAAATAACCGTTAAATTTTATGTAATATCGTAATTTTCGCAGAAAAATTTGCACATTAAATTCTCAATATTAACATTGATTCCCTAGATTATTCTCTATCCAAGAATAGTGCGATTTGTATACAAAAAGAAGGTTATTTTTTTAAAGTAAATAAATATGAACACAGCAGGAAAGACACAATTTAATGATATTTGAAGAGACAGGAAGTTCATTTGGTATCATGAAGAAGTACTATTATCATTGACAAACACAGGAGTACCAAAAAGTGATATTTCGGTATTATTACTTCCTAATTCAAGTTGTGCATCAAATTTTCTATCAAAAATTAAAATAAGAATTGTTTAGGAATTTTCATGAGCATGTAGACAATTGAAAAATATCGCTTTATTGCCACGTTTTATATTGCTCTATTACCACGTTTTACAGAATTTGTTTT